CTGACAATTGAGCTATGGGCTGAGTTCAGCTCCAGGCTTGAGGGATGATTAAGGGCCATACTTTTGGGGGTTATACCACGCTCATCAGACTAGGAAGCCTGACCTTGCTTATCATTTCCAGCTTTGTTCCACATTTTTCTCCCACTGCAAAAAGTACCTCCTAATGTGGTTCCTTTTAGAGCAGTCAGCAGTGGTTGATAGAAACCATCTAGTTCTTCTTGTCTCAGGGTCATAGAAGCCGAGATTCATGTAGTTTATTAGTCCTTTGATCCACTATTTCTTGAATGTTTTAGCTTTAAAAATATTTTTGTTTATGCACTTTTATTTTAGCAATGCTTGTTTGAAACATTGGTAAAAATTAGATTATGAAAACTTGTATTTAGGAGTAAATGATATAGCACTCTAAACCATGCAGGAGTCCCTTGTTCTATTTGAATGGCTGGCTCTTGATACACAAACAGGTTCTGCATGAATGTTCTGGAATGCCCAATCTTCTCAAAACTATTTATAATTTGTTATAATCCACCCCATCGAATGCTTTTACATGATCAGTGAAACACAAGTAAACATCTTTCTGGTATTCTGGGTCGTCAGTCAAGATCCACAAAGCATCGGCAGTGATATCCTTTGCTCAATGTCCTCTTGTGAATCCAGCCTGAGTCTCAGATAGTGAGCTGTCAATGTGCTGCTGCAACTGTTGTTGAATGATCTTCAGCAGAATTACTTGCATGTGGTATTAATGATATTGCTCTATTTTTTGAGCATTCTGTTGGGTCGTCTTTTTATTTTTGAATGGGTACAAATATAGCTCTCTCCATCTCTTAAATTTCCTGACATAGGCAAGGAGTATCCCAGCTTGTGGAAATATTTCCATTGATATTACATTGCTTCTTGGATCTTTGATTTTGGCTAATGCTTTCAGCCAAATGGGGAGGCTCCTGGAGACACAGGCACACAGTACCAGGATGCAGCCAGGGAGAAAGGGCACAGGGAGGAAGGAGATCTTCTCACTGTCTTGCATATGGAAAAGGCCACAACTCCAAGAAGACAACAGCAGGCTGTGACCTGATTGATAGGTTGGACTGCATGCTTACATGTTCACATAGGGTGAGGCTGACATAAAATCTAACTGCCACAAACTGTAAACTTCCTGCAGAGTAGTAACCCCAAGTAAACCAGTGCTCATCTTGCCTATTAGTTAATGTGATTCTGCCTCTAAGCTTTTTGTTAGCAACCTGGTGCTTAAACGTTTTACCAGAGGGCTTCATCATTAGTACATAGCACTGCTGTTACTGCTGTTGATGTTAAGTACCATCAACTCATAGTGACCCTATATACACCAGACAAAAGCACTGCCTTGTCCTACATCATCCCATCAATTGCTGAGTTTGAGCAAAGTGTTGCAGTCACTGTGCCCATCAACCGCATTGAGGGGCTTCCTTTTCCTTGCTGATCCTCTACTTCCAATGCTCCATTAGTTTGTGGAAACACTTATTGATATTCTATCAATTTCTGGAGCCTTTCTGTTGGTTAATCCTATCATGGCAAGAAGCACTTCTCATAGATTCACCATTCAATATCTAGAATTTAGCATAATACTATGAAATGACCAAAAAAATCACACACAATGAATAATAGATAATTGACCTCAGGGAGGGAAGACACCTCAAGTCTAAACTAGGACAAAAGTTAAAGACAAACCATCTAGATGAAAAAATTATCATCAGGAAGCCATAAAAGTATCCAAAGGATTCATGGTCATGTGACTAAATAATGAAGACAGAAAACAAACAAAACCTCCCAGAGTCATCCTTGTTCATAGCTGGAACAGGCACCAATGTGTGCCTTTTATTGAAAACCCTTTCACCACACATAAGTGAGTGTGCTTTCTTCTACATGGACTAGTTGATGGGTCCTTTAAATGGCTGCGTGTATTAATACCAACTTTTAAGACCTCAGAAACTATCCTGTTGGTAGCTAGGCACCATCTGGTTCCTTTATTTTACTTTACTAAAGTACCTAATCTTCAGTAATTGTGTCATGAGGTTAAGTATGAGGAGGGTCCATATTATAAGTCCTATTCATTCTTAGGTTGGGTCATAGGCCCTAAAATTGGAACTCAAATTTATCCATAGAATCTCTCTCTCCCCCCTCTCTCATATATTATATTTACTATTATATTAATTTATGGTCAGCATCATAACTTCCTATAATTATAAGTAAACGCCACACTACGTATGATCATTGTAGGAATATACACACCCACTCACAGCTATAGAGTTGATGCTTACCCATAGCTGCCCTATGTGAGTTTCTGAGATTGGAATTCTCTAGGGCAGTGGTTTTCAACCTGTCTGTCGTGACCCCTTTGGGTTGAACAACCCTTTCACAGGGGTTGCCTAAGACTATTGGAAAACACATATTTCTGATGGTCTTAGGAACTGAGACACCACTCCTCTAACCATCTCCAGGCGGGTCCACCCACATAGATACAAGTACCTAGCGTGAAGACTGTTACCCATGCTACACCATGCTTCGAGACAAAATTTCATTTATTTGTCATTAGAAATAAATATTTCACAATATAGAATTACATATTGTTTTGCGATGAATCACTATGCTTTAATTATGTTCAATTTGTAACAGTGAAAATACATCCTGCATATCAGATATTTACATTACAATTCATAACAGTAGCAAAATGACAGTGATGAAGTAGCAACAAAAATAATGTTATGGTTGGGGGTCACCCCAACATGAGGAACTGTATTTAAGGGTTGCGGCATTAGGAAAGCTGAGAACCACTACCGTAAGGGAATAGGAAGCCTTGCCTTGATTTCAAACTGTTGATCTTGTGGATTGAAGACCAATGTGTAAACACTACGCTACTAGAGCTCTTCTATCTAATGATAATAGTATATAGCCAACGGTCTACATTTAAAATACTAATGAGGAAAAAACATAAGTAAAATCACATGGAAAGGTTTATCTCTACAAATTAATAAACAGGTGATAAATCACAAACCTATCATTTCATCATATTCATTCATTAAGACAAAACTCTTGGACTACAGGACTTCAGGCATGTAATACAAAAGCAATGAACATGAAAACAAATAGCAACTATATCAACAGCCTTTACAAAAAAGTTTTACCATAAACCCACATTGTCCATTGAAAGCAACCCCACATAAATAAACGTTTGAAATTCAGTGAACTCACAGTCCATAATCTGGGAAAGCTATCCTTTTCTTCTGTTAATTAGAAGTGTTTCCGTTTGTGTCCAAAGACTGCTTCAATTCCTTTAATCAGTAAGAAATGTGTCTCAGGGTTAACACTCTTCGGGTTAGCTCCATACAGAACGGGAGGAAAGTAAAATTCACTGTATGCTATTGTGATCCCCAACATGTCTATTTATTGCTGCTATGATGTTTTTCCAAGACAATCCGAAATCCATGTATTCAACATCAAGAGGCTTCCTGGAAACCAAAGCGGAGGGAAACTATTCAGACTCATGATTCGCAAGTTATTACAAAGCAGAGCCTCCTGTTGGAAATATATTTAAAATGTGCTGGGTTCTCCAATGGGCTTTTCCCTTGTCCACCCACCATAGCAGCAATTTTAGTTATGCTACTTGTTCTTTTAATTTTGAAAGTGTCTTCATATTTTC